TACGATAGTAGTGCAAAAACGATAGTAGTGCAAAGTAAATGAAAGGTAAACAAATCACCTAGACACATACAAACAAAACGAAACCATCCCCATCCTGCGAGGAAAGCCCACTGAGGCATTAACCCCATTGTTCAAAAGCGACCTGGCCACCACCGGTGTACCGACAATTTGTGACCAGGTCACTTCTGGAAAATACGTGATTTCCTCAGCGAGCTTTGCCTGGTAGGATGGGCGGGGGGATGGTTTAGTTTTGTTTGTATGTGTTTGGGCGATTTGTTTACCTTTCATGTACTTTGCACTACTATCGTGTTTTTGTAAATGTTTGTCATTGTAACTTTCTTACTCCGTGCCCTCTACTGGACATCTTTGAAAAAATATCTTTATAGCCCATCGGATTGCTCCTGTTATACATTGATTCTTTTTCATGTTATTTAAACCATGGTCGCTGGGCACAGCGCGGGCCAAATGCCCAATGAACGCCAAGCGGGCAGTAACAAACAGCACTCTATAAAGTTGTCACGTAATATATTATTCTGTATATAAAAAATAACGATGTATATTCAAGGATATACAACAGAAGACAGTCTGTACATGATTGCATTGTGTGCGGGATAATTGTAGACCGTGAATTACTGTGTAATGGACCGCAATACTGTATATGCAGGCGTTGCAGTATGTATAAAACGTAATAACAGCATTACTCTATTACGATTACGGATTACATTGTCGGGATCGCAGTCTGTTGTGGGATTACGCAGTCGAATGAGGGAACGCGTCAAAGATGGAGGGAACGCCGAGGAGGTGGAGCAATGAAATCCGTTCACGTGCAAGGGGATGGCTTCATCCAACAGTTGATAGAGTATGAAAGTTGAGAATTCAGTACGTGTGTACGTTGGACTTCTAGATTTGAAGTTTTCGTGACTGCAAGGATCCATACTCTTTGGTTCTTTCGGTAAAGTCACGGAGGTAATGAATACATAAATAAAACAAAAAGCTTTTTACACATGATTAAGGAAACTTGTGTTGCCTCCGAAACGTCGTGATTTAATTTAGTTGTTTTCATTTGTTTTATTTTTTGAAATTGTTATTTTTTTACCTACGTGACTTTACCGAAAGAACCAGAGTACGTTGGACTTCTTTCGCACCGTACGTAGCCAACCGCGCTAATCTAAACACGGTTGATCGACACAACCCATCATCCCGCCACGTCGTCTCGCTCACCCTTCATGCCTGACGACGACCGTGGTAGTGCTGATGATGAAGATTATGTTGATAACGCTCATTTATACTGCACAAGGTGGCTTTAAAAAAATGCTAACACTTCTGAGAAGTTACTACAATACCACGAGAAATGTGCCTCCAGGCTCAGTAAACCACATGGAGAAGAATCCAGGCAACGTGTTGACAACGATGGCGAACAACTGGAGACACTTTGACTTATTGAAACTATTAACATACATTTGTTATCACGTTACAGTGTATTTATCCGTTCCATTCCCATTAACGATAGTCCCATGTAAGTGTTAACCTTTTTTTGAAGCACCCTGTATTTTTGATTAAGTTGAATGTTTAGTTCACAGCCGCCCCTAGTCAGTCTACTGCTGGATGAAGGCCTCCCACACGCTGTTGTCGGGTGTGGGTTGGTGAAGCTGCGAACGAGGGAGCATCAGATCCGGTGCTGATGTCACCTGTCAGCCGTGGCCGGGTAATGAATAGCGCAGAGTGCGTGCTAACCACTGCGCCAACGCTCCACGGCAAAGATAATGATGATGACGACGATGGTGCTGTTGACGACGATCCGGCTGATGACAGTTGTTGATTAAAAGTTGCCAAGAGCTCACAGTGTCCGTGTCGTCTCCTCTGTGGAACTCCCCCCACCCCCATCCTTTCCGAGTCCGTCAACCCCAATTGCGTGGGAAGCACGGGACACTCTGGGGGGGGGGGGGAGAGGATCTCTGTGGGAGAACCCCCTCGTTGCGGGGTCCCTCTGGACCCCTGTGCTGGAGGGGTTGCGACAGACCCAGCTTGGAGGGGGCGCAATTCCCCCTCGCCCCTGTCCCTCGGTCATCCCTGCGTGCCAAGGATTAGTGGGGAGATAAGACCCCGTTAAGCCGATCAACGGCTACTGCGTCTTGAGATGCGCGTAAGGTCGCGGGTCTCCAAGTCCCCCTCTGTCTGTCTCTCTGATCCTGGGTCCCTGCCTCGAGGGGAGTCCCCGTTCTCCGGGTCCCTGTTTCTTTTCTCTCTGGATCCCCGATCCAGGATCCCGCCCGGCTCTTTCTCTCTTCCCTCCCGGCGATCTTGCAAGAGCGAGCGGAAACGGGGAGGGGAGAGCGGCTCCCCATCCCCCAGAACTTTTTTTTAAAGAAAAACACAACCAAGCCGCTCCACCACCATCCCCCCCCCCCCCCCCCCTGGAAGACTCCTGAAGAACCCTGGCGATGAGAGCCCCCTTGCTCCCGCTGATCCCCTCGCTGCTCCTCGCGTTCCTGCTCGGCTCCCACTGCCACCGCCAGCCACTGCAACCTCGGGAGCGCGGTAAGCGATGATGGGGGAAGGGTACAGGGAGGGGGGGGGGGACCCCCCGGATTCCGTATCGCGGGGATAAGGGTCACAACGGGGGGTCCCGGTTGCTTCTGGACTCGCCGAGTTCCAAAAGTTTCACGATCCCCGAATCAAGGGGTTGCCGGGCCGCGCACGAGATTGCAGGGGTCTCAAGCCTTAGGGGGGGGGGGGTCTCAAAGACTGACGAGGGTCTAGAGTACTCAGCGGGGTCTCAAGACTCACAGCTTCGTGAACCCACTCACGCGGGGGGGGGGGGGGGGGTCTTAACGGCGACTCGCGTCTCACGGGGACTCGTCACGGGGGGTCTTAAGGCCCCCTTCTCTGTCTCGGGTGGGGGGGGGGGGTCTGTGGGGGAGTCTCGGGGATGCGGTAAAATTTTGGAGGGGTTCTAAGGATTGTATCGAATAAATAAATCAGATGCCGGTGCGTCTTGTAATCCGGTACGGATGAGTGTGCGTGTGACCAGATGCCGCGTTACACGTTGCCTGGACGTGCGCCTGGCACAAGCGCCGTGGTGACGTCACCGGTTGTTGTTGTTGTTGTTACATGTTGACTCCCCCTAAGAGGTCGACTCGGCCTCAAATGAGTACGGGTGCCCATGTGCGAACATCGTCACTGGGGAGACAAAGACGGCTGTGAGTGGTGCTGGCACATCCCACCACTCCCCCCCCCCCTCCCGTCATAGGTGTTGGTTTGCCGCCGTGCCGGCCTTAATGGGTGCTCGCTTCCGGCACTTGCCCCAACAGTCTGTGAAAGGCTACCCGGGGCGGGGGAGGAACTTTGTCTTTGTGAGTTTATTGACACTTGGAAACGGGGAGGGGTGTAAAGGGTGGGGGGTAAGGAGGGGTGGTAAGGGGGGGGTAAGGAGGGGTGGTAAGGGGGGGTAAGGAGGGGTGGTAAGGGGGGGGGTAAGGAGGGGTGGTAAGGGGGGGGGGTAAGGAGGGGTGGTAAGGGGGGGGTAAGGAGGGGTGGTAAGGGGGGGGGTAAGGAGGGGTGGTAGGGGGGGGGTAAGGAGGGGTGGTAAGGGGGGGTAAGGAGGGGTGGTAAGGGGGGGGGGGAGTAAGGTGTGCGTCTTACTTTCCGAGGCGTCTTATAATCGGGCCACCGCTCGCAGACAACTCGGGGCCGCTACATTGACAGTGCCAGTGAAGGATGAGAAGGATGAGAATGTCCACGTTTAAATCGAATCGTTACCACTCTCCGCTCATCAGCTAGCTGGCTTAGCTGATGGTGCTTGGTGGTGGTGATGTAGACGATGGTGGCGATGATGTTCATTGTAACAAAAATACACTTCCTTTAAAACAAGTTTCTGAGCACAAAGAGCACTGTCAAAGTCGCAAGAGCTCAAGAGTGGAAACGCGTTTCATGAATTGAGCAAAGGGCTATGATGGAAAGAGCTTTGGAGGAAAAGAAACGGCGGTGGTGGTGATGGGAATTCCAGAGTGGAGCGGTGAGAGGGAAGAGGCAGGGAGAGAGAGAGAGAGAAGTGAGTGAAATGCCAAGCTGTGTGGTGGGTGGGTGGGTGCGTGAGTGAGTGCACCAGTGGGCGCGTGTGTTGTTGTGACTGATCGTGTGGTGGTTGGATGGCTGAGTGAATGAGTGGGTTAGTGTGTTGTGATTGCAGTGTGGTGGTTGAGTGAGTAGGTGGGTGAGTGAATGAGTAGGTGGGTGAGTGAATGATTGGGGAAGTGAATGAGTGAATAAGTGGGTGAGTGGGTCGTTGTGACATGCAGTGTGGTGGTTGAGAGAGTGTGAGTGAGTGAATGAGTGAGTGAATGAGTGGGTGAGTGTTGTTGTGACTTGCAGTGTGGTGGTAGAGAGAGTATGAGAGGGTGAGTGAGTGAATGAGTGGGCGAGTGAATGTGTGGGTGTGTTGTTGTGACTTGCAGTGTGGTGGTTGAGAGAGTGTGAGTGAGTGAATGAGTGGGTAAGTGAATGAGTGGTTGAGTGTTGTTGTGACTTGCAGTGTGGTGGTTGAGAGAGTGTGAGAGAGTGAGAGAGTGAATGAGTGGGCGAGTGAATGAGTGGGTGAGTGTGTTGTTGTGACTTGCAGTGTGGTGGTTGAGAGAGTGTGAGTGAGTGAATGAGTGGGTGAGTGAATGAGTGGGTGAGTGAATGAGTGGGTGAGTGAATGAGTGGGTGAGTGAATGAGTGGGTGAGTGTGTTGTTGTGACTTGCAGTGTGGTAGTTGAGAGAGTGTGAGAGAGTGAATGAGTGTGTGAGTGAATGAGTGGGCGAGTGCATGCGTGGGTGAGTGTTTTGTGATCTGCAGTGTGGTTGAATTCGTAGGTGGGTGAGTGAATGAGCTGGGGAAGTGAGTGGGTGAGTGAGTGAATGGGTGATTGTGTTGTTGTGATCTACAGTGTGGTGGTTGAGTGAATGAGTGGGTGAGTGAATGAGTGGGTGAGCGAATGAATGAATAAGTGGGTGGGTGAATGAGTGGGTGAGTGTGGTGTTGTGATCTGCAGTGCGGTGGTGGATGGGACGAATCGGTGTGGTTGTGGTGGTCGCTGTGGTGCTGTTTGGTGACTGTTGGGTGACTCGCGATGTCCCTGGTCGATCTACTCCCGACGGGCTACGAGGGTGACTTGTCTCGATGGATGCCTCTTTGTCTGCCTCCTGTCTCCACCTCTTCGTGTGTCCACCTCATTTCGTGCCCACCTCCTTGTGTCCGCCTCTTCCTGTGTTCACGTCTTCCTATGTCCACCTCTTTGTCCACCTCCTTGTGTCCACCTCTTCTTACCTCCAACTCCCTCCGTGTCCACTTCCCTCCGTTTCCACCTCCTTGTGTCCATCTGTATCCACCTCTTCCTATGTCCACCTGTCTCCGTATCCACCTTCCTCCATGTTCACCTCCCTCCGTGTCCACCTCCTGTGTGTTCCCACCTCCTTCACAGCAGGCGCACGGAGCGAGGGGAGCGGAGCTGAGCTCAGTGACCCGACGCTGGTGGACGACTCCGACTATGTGGACATCATATCGCTGGACGACGTGGACGACTCCGACAAGGAGGTAACGGGGGAGGGAGGTGGTTCAATTAGGTGATGGTGAGGTCGATTGAGATTGTAGGGAATTTTATTGGGGCGCCGTGGTGGCGAGATGTTAATTGCCTCGCCTGGTATGCAGGAGGTCGTGGGTTCGATCCCGACCCTGGCACCTGTTGTATATTTGGAGGTGTGTGTGTCTCTTTCTCTCTCTGTGGTCGCGTGGATTTTTCTCCGGATTATCTGGCTTTTCCCTCCATATTTAGAATCAACAAGCGTTAAGAGTATTTGGCTGCTATAAATTTCCACGTGATGAAAAGCTACTTCGTTGAGCTATCATTTGTGATAACCAGGTTGCTTCTGAAAAAGAGCTATCAAGCTCATTGAGGCTTACCTGGTAAAAAAAGAGTTTATAATTTATCTTTATTGGTGGAGGTGAGGTGGTGAATTCCTATGTTGGGATGGATGATTGTGTGGTGTGCCGAGCGACGGTAAGTCGGTTGAGGTGGCTGTGAGATGATTGAAGTGGCTTGAACAGCAGTAATATGGTTGAAATAATTTGGTTCGTGCAGGAATTTGGAATTGAGATATTTTATGTAGTGGTGGTGAAATGTGATGAATGTGGCGGTGAGTTGATTGAGTTGGTGGTGAGATCGTTTAGTTTCTGTTGAGATCGTTGACATCGTGGTGAGATGGTTGAGGAATTTGGTGGTGAGATCGTTGAGATCGTGGTGACATCGTTTAGTTTCTGGTGAGATCGTTGAATTGATGGTGAGATCGTTGAGTACATGGTTAGATCATTGAGATCGTGTGATATCGTTGAGGATTTGGTGGTAAGATCGTTGAGGAGTTGGTAGTGAGATCGTTGAGTTGGTGGTGAGATTGTTGAGTTGGTGGTGATATCGTTAAATTGGTGGTGAGATCGTTGATTTGGCGGTGAGATTGTTGAGTTTGGTGGTGAGATCGTTGAGATGGTGGTGAGATCGTTGAGGAGTTGGTGGTGAGATCGCTGAGTTGGTGGTGGGATCATTGAGGAGTTGGTGGTGAGATCGTTGAGGAGTTGGTGGTGAGATCGTTGAGTTGTTGGTGAGATCTTTGAGTTGGTGGTGATATCATTGAGGAGTTGGTGGTGAGATCGCTGAGTTGGTGGTGAGATCATTGAGGAGTTGGTGGTGAGATCGTTGAGGAGTTGGTGGTGAGATCGTTGAGTTGTTGGTGAGATCGCTGAGTTGGTGGTGAGATCGTTGAGTTGGTGGTTATATCATTGAGTTGGTGGTGATATCCTTGAGTTCGTGGTGAGATCGTTGAGATCGTTGAGATCGTGGTGAGATCGTTTAGTTCGTGGTGAGATCGTTGAGTTGGTGATGAGATCGTTGAGGTCGTGGTGAGATCGTTGAGTTGGTGATGAGATCGTTGAGTTAGTTGTGAGATCGTTGAGTTCGTGGTGAGATCGTTGAGATCGTTGAGATCGTGGTGAGATCGTTTAGTTGGTGGTGAGATCGTTGAGTTGGTGGTGATATCGTTGAATTCATGGTGATATCGTTGAGATCGTTGAGATCGTGGTGTGATCGTTAAGTTGGTGGTGAGATCATTGAGTTGGTGGTTATATCATTGAGTTGGTGGTGATATCCTTGAGTTCGTGGTGAGTTCGTTGAGATCGTTGAGATCGTGGTGAGATTGTTTAGTTGGTGGTGAGATCGTTGAGTTGGTGGTGAGGTCGTGGTGAGTTCATTGAGGACTTGGGTGAGATGGTTGAGTAGTTGGTAAGATTGATAAGCTGGTGATGAGCTAGTTTTCCAGCACGCGTTGACTATTGGGCGTCGCTGTCATTGACAGGCGTCCGGCGAGGCCCTGACCCCGGCCCCTACCCCGGCCCCTACCCCGGTCCATCCACCGCTCCTCGCTTTCCACGAGGCCCAGCGAGGAGACGCCGCCTGGATCCCGACCCCGAGTCCCAGGATGGCACCGGGGGCCCCGGCCCAGCTCACCGCACGGGGGCCTCGTCCCCACATCCGCACGGGGTCCTCTCGCTCTCCATCTCCTAGCTCCACCACCTCCACATCTCCTAGTTCCACCACCTCCACGTCTCCTCCCTCCACCACCTTCACGTTGCCTCGCTCCACCTCCACGCCGAGCTCGGCCGCCCCTGGACCTCCAGGTCGCAGGGCAAAGCGGCCTCACCGCAGGAGGAGGCTCCCGGGCAGGGGAAGCGCTAATTGGACACAGCCGAGAGTCACCCCTTCTGCAGTCCCCGGGACCCCAACGAGCGTGAGGCCCCCTGCGAGGACCCCGACGGCCTGCGACGCGGCGTCATGTCCCCTGGGCAGCTACTGCCTCCTGGGAGAGGGGGGCAGGACTTCCTGTCCCTGCAGCCTGGGCAAGGGAGGGCGGCAGTGTGCTCAAGGTGCGTGGGCACCACCATCGCCCATCCTCTCTCTTCACCACCGCCAACATCGTCATCGCCATCACATTGCCCGACACGATCATCACCACCACTACCATCTTCGCCACCATCATCGCACTGCCTGAAATCAACATCACCATCCACTGTCACGAGCCACGTTATGCTCTGGTTGTGTGCTATGGCCCTGAGTGCGGCATGGCATGTGGTATGGTATGACCTGTGGTGCGGTATAACCCGTGGTTCGCCAAGTCCACGTGACGTGGTGTGACCCGTGGTGCGGCATACCCATGGTGCGGCGTGACCCATGGTGTGGCATACCCATGGTGCGGCGTGACCCATGCTGCGGCGTGCCTCGTGGTGCGACGTTACACCGTGGTGCTGTAGATGTGACCGCTCGAGTCCCCGCCTTCTCTGGCCACTCCTTCCTGGCGCTGCCCACTCTGCGGGGGGCCCACGGGGAGCTGAACATCAGCCTGGAGCTCAAGGTGCCCCCCACAAATACACATACCACCACACCTCCCCCCCCCCCTAGCCCAACAGAGTGAGATTGTTTGTGGAGGATGGTGATGTTGTAGATCCTGGTTATGTTGCGTGTGTTGTCGACGACAGCTTTGGTGGTGTTGACATTAATGTTGCTGTTGTTGAAGATGGTGATGCGGTCGATGGTCGTGATTATATTGATGACGTTGTAATGCCAATATTGATGTTAATATTGATGGTGGTCATGGCTTGGGAAAAGTTTGTGTTGTGGTTGCTCTTGTTGTGGTGATGTTTGTAGTGTGGCACATTAGGAATGGACCACTCTTTTAATTATTTTCTCGTGGAGCAATAGAGCTAAGTGTAGTTTTGTGAAGGTCCTTATGTGCTATGCAGTACATCAATGCAAGTGTGTACACCAGCATGCGATACTGAGTTGGGCCTGTAGGTGTCTGGCAGGGTTATTGAGTAACCTGACCTGTAGACCATTCACATAATTAATGGCGACTGTTGGAAACTGCTGTGTGTGATACACGTGCTGTTGCATTTTACAGATGATCACAATAAATGTTTTACCCTCGATTTGGAGCACCTGTCCACGTCCTTCATTTCGAGTGTGCAACAGTGGTGATGTTCGTGGTCATGTCGGTGGTGGTGTTGTCTCGCGATTAGGCCGAGGCTCGAGCGGGCTACCAGAATGCACTGCTGCTCTTTTGTGGCGACCGGGAGGACGCACGGCCCCGCGACTTTCTCGCACTCTCCCTGCGACGAGGGGTGCTCACGTTCAGGCGAGTCCTAGGCAGCTCGCGCGGGGCCCGTAGAATATGTTATGAAGGGGTCCTAAATTAAAAGAAAACATTAAAACGCACATTTTTTTACTTGCATAGTGAAGTAATTGTATTTTTTCATTTGCTATACAGCCAGATAATACGACAAATCGCTAACCTTAAACACCCGGTCGTTCATAAAAGTTGAAGGCGGTACAGTACTATAGTAATAGAGCAAGTGCAGAATCACTGAACCATAATTGATAGCTTCAAAGCATTTAGCGCGGGTCCCTTGAAAGTGCGGGGCCCGTAGCATCTGTAGCTACTTTTGCTACTAGTATAATCCGGTACTACTCCTAGGCCCTGGTGTCCCCTACATGGGGTCCGGGACATCCCCCACCCCCAACCCCCACTCCTCCTAGGGGAGGGGGTTGGCTGGTATAGGGGGGCACCCACAGGAGCCCTCTTTTGGGGTTCAATGTCTTGTGGCAGTGAGACGGAGTTCGGGTGAAGGTCCAGACATATTGTAGATGACGACATCTATAATGTGATAAGGAGGGTACAGAAGGTAATGGTGGAATGATGGCGGGGATGATGATGATCATGATGATGGAGTTGATACCAGGCCTCACCACAGGAGGAGGTCGTTCTTCACTGATGATTTCATCTCACGTCTCGTGGCCCCACGTCCCCATTCCCTCTTGTCCCCTTGCCCTTGTGTCTTCATGTTTCCATATGGCCCCAAGTCCTCGTGTCACCTTTTTTGTCTGTCCCCCTGTCCCCCCTCCCTGTCTCCATATCTCCGTGTCCCTCTGTCCCCTTGTTCCCCTGTCTCCATGTCCCCCTGTCCCTGTCTCCATATCCCTATGTTCCCCTTGTCCCCCTGTCTCTGTTCCCCATATCCTCATGTTCCCCTGTCTCTGTGTCCCCGTCTGTCCGTGTCCTGGTGTCCCCATATCCCCGTGTCCCCCTATCTCCATGTCCACATGTCCCGGTGTCCCGCTGTCTCCGTGTCCCCATATCCCCGTGTCCCCCTGTCTCCGTGTCCCCTGTGTCCCCGTGCAGCTTTGACTGTGGCTCTGGGCCAGCTTGGATCTCCGCGTCGACGCCGGTGACACCAGGGTCATGGCACCGCGTGGCACTGAGCCGCTCCGGGCGGCACGGCCGGCTCACCGTGGACTCGCAGCCTCCCTCCACGGGGCACTCACAGGTGAGCGAGGCGAGGGGTGAGCGGTGAGGTGAGGAGAGAGGTGAGACATAGGGTCGCTACCGTCTGACTTTTTCTGATGCCCACCCCCCATCACCACCCCCACGCCGCCCCCCCCCCCCCCCCCCCCCCGGGTAGGGCCCCCTGTCTCACATCTCTTTCCGGACTCCGCTGTATGTGGGTGGCCCCCCTCATGCGCCGCTCACTGGAGTTGCGGTTGGGCCCCCCCCCGGCTGGGGCCCCCCACTCTCCCCGCTGGGGTTCCTGGGCTGTGTGCGGGCACTCCGCATCAACGGGAGGGAGGTGGATGCGCGGGCCGCGCCACGTGGACACGCGGTGCGCGGGGCCAACGTCGGTACGTCGTTGGCAACCGCAAACACATTTCACAACCGCAACCGCAACCACGATCACAATCCCAACCACGGTTACAACCACGGCCACAATCGCAGCCACTATCAAAGCCACAATCGCAATTATCACCACAATTACAACCGTGTGTCACGCGGGGGCTAACGTGGGTACGGCAGTTGCATCCACAAATACAAGACTGCAACCACAACTACAATCCCAACCGCAATCACACCTGCAAACAAACCCACAATCACAGCTGCAATCAGAGCCAGAATCACAACCAAGCGCCACGCGGGGGCCAACGTGGGTACGGCACCCGCAACCACTGTCACAGTCAGAACCACGCTCACAACTGTGGTGTGTTGTGCGGTGCAGGTGAGTGCGGCCGTGAGGCGTGTGCGGCAGCACGGTGTGGTCAGGGCGCTCCCTGCGAGGTGTGGGACGGGGAGGAGGCCCTGTGCTTGTGTTCCCTCGGATTCTCTGGGCCTCGTTGCCAGGACGGTAAGTGTGTGTGTGTCCGTAACTTTGAGTGTGACCGTGTGTGTGTGTGTGTATGTGTGTGTGTGGGGAGTGGTAGTGCAGAGGTTAGCGCTCTGCGCTACGAACCCGGCGACCCAACTTCGATTCCCGCTCACGGCCAACACCAGTGGCTATTATCTGAATCAGTCCTGGGCCTCCCTAGGTCGACTCAGCCTCAAATGAGTACCTGGTGCGGTGTGTAAACATTGTCACTGGGGAGACAAAGGCAGCTGTGTTCGGTGCTGGCCACCCACGTCCTAGTGTGCCGTGCAAGCCTTCATAGGTGCTAATAGCACTTTCCCCAACAGTCTGTTAAGGCTATAGGGGGGATCTTTGTCTTTGTGTGTGCGTGTTCCCACCTGCACTGTGCTACGAACCCGGCGACCCGAATTCTCTTTCCGCTCGTGACCAACAACATCGCTCTCACACCACTTTCACACCACCTCCTCGAGGTCGACTGAGCCTTAAATTTGAAGACCTGGTGCCGTAAGAAAACATCATCACTAGGGGAATGAATGCGGCCGGGCGTGGTGTTGGCAACCCACCCCGTCGTGCACCGTTCCAGCCTTAATAGGTGCTACTCACTGGCATAACTCGACCCCTACAGCCTGTTGAAGGCTATGTGGCCGATCTTTGTCTTTGCGCCCACCCGCCTGTACGCGTGCAGCGCTGGCGGTGCGCATGCCGGTGTTTGACGCGAGGCTGAGGTCGTACGCGGCGGCGTTGTGGCCGGGTGGGTTGCGGCCGCCCTCCTCGGCCATGGAGCTGGAGCTGGAGTTCCGCTCAATGAGGTCGGAGGGGACGCTGCTCTACAGTGACGATGCCGGCGCTGGCGACGCCGGAGACTTTGTGGCGCTGGTGCTGAGGGGCGGCCACCTCGAGATGCGATTCGACTGCGGATCCGGCACTGCCACGATCCGGCACGCGGCACTCTCACCGCTGTCATACCACGGTCACCACACCATCACAAACCATTGGGTCATACCAGTACACTAACAGCATCCACAGACACCAAAACAACAACCGCAATAACCACAGCAATCGCAACAGTATATTTACACGTCACAACGACCCTAACAATGCAGGAACACCATCGCAACCACAACAGTAACAGCAGCGACACAGCAACATACTGGTTGTGTGGCTGTGATGTTGGTGTGCTTGCGTGGTTGTGTGCAGGAGTGCTGCCCCGGTGAGCGTCGGGGAATGGCACGTGGTTCAGGCCTCCCGCAGGGCTCGCCTGGGCATCCTGCAGCTTGACGACCAAGCCCCCGTCTCGGCAATCGCACCGGTGACAAAACCCAGAGCAGCATAAACTCACCCAGCCTCACCCACGCTCAACCCAGAACCCACCCGGACTAAGCCTGGCCTAACTAGGTGCTATGCAGCCTAGCGTAACCTAGTCTAACCCAGCGCAGTCAATCCTCATCCGCATCTAGCCCAGCCAAATCCAGCTCAGCCTGGGAAAGACCATCCTAGTCCAGCCTCACCTAGCCTGGCCCAATCTAAGCCAGGCCAACCAAGACCGACCTGTCTGTGTGTCTGTGTGCGTTTCTCTGCGTGTATGTGTTTAACACGTATGCTTTCACGACCAATACCATCCATAATAGAGGTTTTGGGTTAGATCGCTTAAATATATAAATGTGTTGTTAAAGCCTGCCACCACCCGACACAGCCAACTAGTATTGTGCTTATTAAAATAGCCCTACCAACGGTAATCTCTATTGAAGTACGCTGCCCTTTGTAGGCATGCATTTAAATAATCTATTATTTGATTATTCGCTTCCACGCAGCACTAAGACGCAAATATCAGCAACTGTCAGCAGTAGCAGAACACGCGTGCCAACAAGGACACTCAATTTATTTTGATAATGTTGAAGTTTTGTGCAAAACTAGCTCCTATCGGCCAAGACTAATTAGATAAATCAATCGAAATTGAAAGAAATCAAAATAACTTTAACCGTTCGGATAGCTACCGTCTTAGTGCTACGTGGAAGCGAATAATCAAATAATACATTATTTAAATGCGTGCCTACAAAGGGCAGCCTACTTCAATAGGGATTATTGTTGGTAGGGCTATTTTAATAAACACAATAGACAGGAAGGACAAGTTCAAAGGGCTCGCATAATGCACATGCATAATGCGACAGTAATCCCCCCCCCCCCCCCCCCCCCCCACATTGTGCAAGAGCGCAGAAGGGTGGTCAACACATCTACGCCTCTATATAAGGAACGAAACAGTAAGACGTCTTCACAAATCTGGCAGTTGCCTGATGAAGCAAGTTGTAATTACTGGCGAAACGTCATCCTCAGTTTGTAAATGTTGTGGCTTGGCTCTCTAGGTGCTGCTCGCTAACAGCGTGTGCTGTAAAAGTGACGAATTGGCATGTTCTGTTTACGTGACAACCCTTACTAGTTGGCTGTGTCGGGTGGTGGCGGGTTTTAACGACACATTTATATATTTACACGATCTCACCCAAAAACCCTCTATTATGGGTGGATATGTGTCTGCCTGTTTGTCTCTGTATGGTCGATGGGCGTGGTGCTGGCTGCATACCCCCTCGTGTGCCGTTACCGGCCTTCAAAGGTGCTGCTCGCTGACATAACTCGACCCCGACAGCTTGTCTCTCTGTGTGCCTCTGTGTGTGTGTCTGTGTGTGTCTCTCCAGGGAGCGGTCATGCAACGGTGAGCATGCTACAAATCTGGCTACCGGAGTTTGATTCCCGCTCACAGCCAACAATAGTGACAATTATCTGAACCGGTCCTGGGCCTCCTCTAGGTCGACTCAGCCTCAAATGCGTACTTGGTGCGATGTGTTCAAACATCGCCACTGGGAAGACAAAGGCGGCCGGATGTGGTGTTGGCCGCCCACCCCCTAGTATGTCGTGCCGGCCTTCATAGGTGCTGCTCGCTAACAGCGTGTTAAGGCTATATGGGGGATCTGTGTGTCTCTCTGTGTCTCTCTGTGTCTGTGTGTCTCTGTGTGCATCCTGAAGGGCTCCTTCACCCAGATCAGGTGCAGCTCAGCGCTCTACCTGGGCGGAGTCCCCGACTACGACGCCGTCAAGAAGAAGTCTGGCGTCACAGCTCCCTTCACCGGCACCTTCCAGAGGGTGCAGCCCCTCGGCGCGATCTCACCTCACCCACAGCTGACCCCGACCAGGCCCAACTAGAACCTGACCCATCCAGACCTGACGTATCCTGACCGTGACTCAACCACACCTGAACTGATCAGGCCTAACCCAACCAGACCTGATCCAACCAGACCCTGACCCATCCAGACTTGACGTATCCTGACCTGACCCAGCCAGACCTGAACTTATCAGACCTGACCCAACCAGACCTGACCTAATCAGACCTGACATAATCAGACCTGACCCAACCAGAACCTGACCCATCTAGACCTGACGTATCCTGACCTGACCCAACCAGACCTGAAATAATCAGACCTGACCCAACCAGAACCTGACCCATCTAGACCTGACATATCCTGACCCGACCCAGCCAGACCTGAACTTATCAGACCTGACCCAACCAGACCTGACCTAATCAGACCTGACATAATCAGACCTGACCCAACCAGAACCTGACCCATCTAGACCTGACGTATCCTGACCTGACCCAACCAGACCTGAAATAATCAGACCTGACCCAACCAGAACCTGACCCATCTAGACCTGACATATCCTGACCCGACCCAGCCAGACCTGAACTTATCAGACCTGACCCAACCAGACCTGACCTAATCAGACCTGAAATAATCAGACCTGACCCAAACAGACCGAACCAGAATCTGACCCATCCAGACCTGATGTATCCTGACCTGACCCAACCAGACCTGACCCAACCAGACCTAACCTAATCAGACCTGACCCAACCAGAACCTGACTAACCACACCTGATCCAACCAGAACCAGACCCAACCAAACCTGACCCAACCAGAACCTGACCCAACCAAACATGACCCAACCAATCCTGACGTATCCTGACCTGACCCAACCAGAACCTGACCCAACCAAACCTGACTCGAACCCAACTCTGCACAACCCCACCAGACTAGACCTGAACCAAGGTGTAGACCTGCCCTGTGTCTCTGTCCCTTGTGTCTCTGTCCCGTGTCTTTTAACCTTTGTGTCTCTGTTCTGTGTCTCTGTTCCACGTCTTTGTTCCATGTCTCACGCCCCCATCCCATTCCTTGTCTCTAACCATGCCCCCCCCCCACCCCCCCGGGCTTGCTCCGCGTTGCCATGCAGCTGGCAGTGAACGGGCACGCGGTGGTGCTGGGACCGGAGCCTGCGGGGCGCCTGACGACCGGCGTGAACGTGGGCAACGCCGCGACAGCGTGCGAGGCGGCGCCATGCCAGCAGGGGGGCAGCTGTCACCCCCGCGGAGACAGCTACATCTGCGACTGCCCCCTTGGATACCAGGGACAGAGCTGCCAGGAGGGTGGGCCCCGCAGATCCATTGCCGCCCACCTGCCCTCCACTCGTCACCTGAACCCTGCCCCCCGCCCCCACCCCCCCCACCGAGGTCTGCCCTCGTCCTGCCAATGCCAGCGCCTCCCCTTGCCCCGCTACTTAGCGCTCGCCTGTGCGGCCTCTGTGAACTGTACCTAATGCCTGTGCTGGGTCGCTGTTCCCCTGGCTTTGTTCCAGACAACGGATTTTTCGGAGCAAATGGTAAGTTCTGAGCAAGGCTCGCTTGCCCGGCGCACAAATGCGGCACACACCTGGCACGCCAGCTGTATCAGAAACACTCGCCCGACACACACCTGGCACACCAACTATACCAGCAACACCTGCCCGTCACACACCTGGCACACCAACTACACCAGCAACACCCACCTGGCACACACCTGGCACACCAACTACACCAGCAACACCCACCTGGCACACACCTGGCACACCAACTATACCAGCAACACCCGCCTGGCACACCTGGCACACCAACTACACCTGCAACACCCGCCTGGCACACACCTGGCACACCAACTACACCAGCAACACCTGCCCGGCACACACCTGGCACACCAACTACACCAGCAACACCTGCCCGGCACACACCTGGCACACCAAATACACCAGCAACACCCACCTGGCACACACCTGGCACACCAGCTACAACAGCAACACCCTCCCGACACACACCTGGCATACCTACAGCAGCCATAACAGCCATACCATTTCACAGCACATACCTGGCACGCACATGGCCCGCGCCTGGCATATCTATGGCAGCCACCCCTACTACACACGCACGCACGCACGTTCGCGACACCTGCCCATGACACTTGACTGACACGCACCACCACCACCACCCTCCTACCACCCCCCCAAGTGCGCGACCACGCACATCTGGCACGCCTGCCTGGCACGACGCACTGCACCTGCTACAGTGAGGGAAAAAAGTATTTGATCCCCTGTTGATTTTGTACGTTTGCCCACTGACAAAGAAATGATCAGTCTATAATTTTAATGGTAGGTTTATTTGAACAGTGAGAGAGAATAACAACAACAAAATCCAGAAAAACGCATGTCAAAAATGTGATAAATTGATTTGCATTTTAATGAGGGAAATAAGTATTTGACCCCTCTGCAAAACATGACTTAGTACTTGGTGGCAAAACCCTTGTTGGCAATCACAGAGGTCAGACGTTTCTTGTAGTTGGCCACCAGGTTTGCACACATCTCAGGAGGGATTTTGTCCCACTCCTCTTTTCTCAAAGTCATTAAGGTTTCAAGGCCGACGTTTGGCAACTCGAACCTTTAGCTCCCTCCACAGATTTTCTATGGGATTAAGTTCTTGAGACTGGCTAGGCCACTCCTGGACCTTAATGTGCTTCTTCTTGAGCCACTCCTTTGTTGCCTTGGCCGTGTGTTTTGGGTCATTGTCATGCTGGAATACCCATCCACGACCCATTTTCAATGCCCTGGCTGAGGGAAGGAGGTTCTCACCCAAGATTTGACGGTACATGGCCCCGTCCATCGTCCCTTTGATGCGGTGAAGTTGTCCTGTCCCCTTAGCAGAAAAACACCCCCAAAGCATAATGTTTCCACCTCCATGTTTGACGGTGGGGATGGTGTTCTTGGGGTCATAGGCAGTATTCCTCCTCCTCCAAACACGGCGAGTTGAGTTGATGCCAAAGAGCTCCATTTTGGTCTCATCTGACCACAACACTTTCACCAGGTTGTCCTCTGAATCATTTAGATGTTCATTGGCAAACTTCAGACGGGCATGTATATGTGCTTTCTTGAGTAGGGTGACCTTGAGGGCGCTGCAGGATTTCAGGCCTTCACGGCGTAGTGTGTTACCAATTGTTTTCTTGGTGACTATGGTCCCAGCTGCCTTGAGATCATTGACAAGATTCTCCCGTGTAGTTCTGGGCTGATTCCTCACCGTTCTCATGATCATTGCAACTCCACGAGGTGAGATCTTGCATGGAGCCCCAGGCCAAGGGAGTTGACAGTTGTTTTGTGTTTTTTCCATTTGCGAATAATCGCACCAACTGTTGTCACCTTCTCACCAAGCTGCATGGCAATGGTCGTGTAGCCCATTCCAGCCTTGTGTAGGTCTACAATCTTGTCCCTGACATCCTTGGAGAGCTCTTTGGTCTTGGCCATGGTGGAGAATTTGGAATCTGATTGATTGATTGCTTCTGTGGGCATGTGTCTTTTATACAGGTAACAAGCTGAGATTAGGAGCACTCCCTTTAAGAGTGTGCTAATCTCAGCTCGTTACCTGTATAAACGACACCTGGGAGCCATAAAAATTTCTGATTGAGAGAGGGACAAATACTTATTTCCCTCATTAAAATGCAAATCAATTTATAACATTTTTGACATGCGTTTTTCTGGATTTTTTTGTTGTTATTCTGTCTCTCACTGTTCAAATAAACCTACCATTAAAATTATAGACTGATCATTCATTTGTCAGTGGGCAAACGTACAAAATCAGCAGGGGATCAAATACTTTTTTTCCCTCACTGTATATACACACACACACACCAGCCACATCTACCCAGCACACACACAAACACACACACACCTCTCCGGTGCAACAACAACCGCCATTCGCCACTAAGTGGCGGTGACGTCACCACGACGCTTGTGCCATGCTATGTGCACGTTGAGGTCACGTGAAGTGTTGAACGCCCGCCGGGCAGGAGATCACGGGGCAGACCCAGGTGCCACGGGTCGACTGACTGAGATGACTGGCCGATGCACCACCTGTGCAAATATTCCTTGACAAACCCCTGGGTGCTGTTAACGTCCCCGTACCTCTGCAACCCGTATCCCCTTCTCTCGCCCCCCCCCCCCCCCCCCCGTGTGGATCGGCAGCTGTGGAGGACTACGAGGAGCTGCCACGCTTCACGGGCTCCAGCTACATCTCCTACGAGAGCTCCAACATCCTGAAACGGTGACGCCGTCACACACAGACACCACACACAGACACCACACATAGACACCACACATAGACACCATACATAGACACCACACACAGCTTTCACAAGCAGACGCCACACACAGACACAATGTGTGTATAGGGGGGAGTGGTGCGCTTAGGAACCCGGCCACCCGAGTTCTAATCCCATTCACGACCAATAACAGCATTGAATATCTGTGACCCAGTCCTGGGCCTCAAATGAGTACCTGGTGAGATATGTAAACATTTCCAGTCGGGAGACAAAGGCGGCCGGGCGCGCTGCTGGCCACCTACCCCCTCGTGTGCCTTACCGGCCTTCACAGGTGCTACTCGCTACTAACGGCACTTGCCACAACAGTCTCTTAAGGCTACACGAGGGATCTTTGTCTTTGCGTTGCGGCCTCTGCAGGGTCTCCGGGTTCAGGTCCAACCTGTTCGTGCGCTTCAAGGCAACGGGCCCCGACGGCCTCCTGCTGTGGAGGGGGGGCACGCGGTGGGGCAGGGGGACCGAGGAAGGGGACTACATCCTGCTGGGCTTGCAGGGCGGGGCCCTGATCTTCAGGTGCACACCCCGAGACATTGCGGCACGTCCCATGCTGCCCGCATGCCCCCTCTGTGTCCCCCGTGTCTCCGTTTCTCTGTGTATCGTCCCCCGTGCTTTTGGGCCTCCGTGCTCCCGTGTTCCCTCGTCCCCTTCCCTTGTGCCCTGTATCCTCTGCGTCTCTGTGCCCCTGCATCCCTGTGCCTCATGCCCTATACCCCCTTTCCTTGTAACCCCATGCCCCGTGTCCCCCCGTGTCCCACAACCTGGAGTGGTATCCGGGACCGGGTGAGGATTTGGTGCCAGTCGTCGTGAGGTCATGAGGTCACGGGTTCAGCATGTCTCACAGGGTCGCGTGTCCCCCACAGCTACGACCTGGGGAGCGGGCCTGCCCACATCCTCGTCAACAGCTCCTTCAACGACGGCCTGTGGCACCGAGTGAAGGCCGTGAGGTAAGGGGGGGGGGGGTGTCGTTACTCGTGACGCTCGTTTTACCCAGAAAACCATCCGAGTCTCATGACTCTTTTTATAAGTAGGTATCATTATCTTATCTTCTTAAAGTTATTTGTATAGCGCCTTAACCGAGGTACTTTACTGAGAACTTAGGACGGTACAACGCATGAATGTAACGGTGGTGGAGATGAGGCGAACGCAATAGATGAGAGGAGAGCAATGGGGGTGAATCTGCGATGACGCGCGAATTCGGTGAAAGTGAAATTGATGACAGTGAATGATGACGAATGGGTTGAATGAACGTGACAGCCGTGTGATGTGATGAGAATGTGGAGAGGGAACAGAAACGGTGGTGGTGGTTACGAGGGGGAGATTGAGGGGTGGTGGCGTGAGCTCGGGAAAAAAAGTGAGTTTTGAGTGAGGGGCGGAAACCAGTGAGCGATGGTGACTCTTTAAAGGCGGAGGGGAAGTTTGTCCTGCCAAGTACAGTGAGGGAAAAAAGTATTTGATCCCCTGCTGATTTTGTACGTTTGCCCACTGACAAAGAAATGATCAGTCTATAATTTTAATGATAGGTTTATTTGAACAGTGAGAGACAGAATAACAACAACAAAATCCAGAAAAACGCATGTCAAAAATGTGATAAATTGATTTACATTTTAATGAGGGAAATAAGTATTTGACCCCTCTGCAAAACATGACGTAGTACTTGGTGGCAAAACCCTTGTTGGCAATCACAGAGGTCAGACGTTTCTTGTAGTTGGCCACCAGGTTTGCACACATCTCAGGAGGGATTTTGTCCCACTCCTCTTTGCAGATCTTCTCCAAGTCATTAAGGTTTCGAGGCTAACGTTTGACAACTCGAACCTTCAGCTCCCTCCACAGATTTTCTAAGAGATTAAGGTCTGGAGACTGGCTAGGCCACTCCAGGACCTTAATGTGCTTCTTCTTGAACCACTCCTTTGTTGCCTTGGCCGTGTGTTTTGGGTCATTGTCATGCTGGAATACCCATTCACGACCCATTTCCAATGCCCTGGCTGAGGGAAGGAGGTTCTCACCCAAGATTTGACGGCACATGGCCCCGTCCATCGTCCCTTTGATGCGGTGAAGTTGTCCTCTCCCCTTAGCAGAAAAACACCCCCAAAGCATGTTTCCATCTCCATGTTTGACGGTGGGGATGGTGTTCTTGGGGTCATAGGCAGCGAGTTGAGTTGATGCCAAAGAGCTCCATTTTGGTCTCATCTGACCACAACACTTTTACCCAGTTGTTCTCTGAATCATTCAGATGTTCATTGGCAAACTTCAGACGGGCATGTGTATGTGCTTTCCTGAGCAGGGGGATCACGCGGGCGCTGCAGGATTTCAGTCCTTCACGGCGTAGTGTTACCAATTGTTTTCTTGGTGACTATGGTCCCAGCTGCCTTGAGATCATTGACAAGATCCTCCCGTGTAGTTCTTGGCTGATTCCTCACCGTTCTCATGATCATTGCAACTCCACGAGGTGAGATCTTGCATGGAGCCCCAGGCCGAGGGAGATTGACAGTTGTTTTGTGTTTCTTCCATTTGCGAATAATCGCACCAACTGTTGTCACCTTCTCACCAAGCTGCTTGGCAATGGTCTTGTAGCTCATTCCAGCCTTGTGTAGGTCTACAATCTTGTCCCTAACATCCTTGGAGAGCTCTTTGGTCTTGGCCATGGTGGAGAGTTTGGAATCTGATTGATTGATTGCTTCTGTGGACAGGTGCCTTTTATACAGGTAACAAGCTGAGATTAGGAGCACTCCCTTTAAGAGTGTGCTCTTAATCTCAGCACGTTGCCTGTATAAAAGACACCTGGGAGCCAGAAATCTTTCTGATTGAGAGAGGGTCAAATACTTATTTCCCTCATTAAAATGCAAATCAATTCATAACATTTTTGACATGCGTTTTTCTGGATTGTTTTGTTATTCTGTCTCTCACTGTTCAAATAAATCTAGCATTAAATTATAGACTGATAATTTATTTGTCAGTGGGCAAACGTACAAAATCCGCAGGGGATCAAATACTTTTTTTCCCTCACTGTATTTGCAGTGGGGGCTGGACGATGATCACAATGTAGATTCCAAATTGAGTCAATATACGCAGGTAATGTTCACAGTTTGACAGACTTTCCATGCTCTTACGCCGTCACACAATGGCCCTACTCTTGCTGATGACGTCAGTGGATCTTTAACGTCCGCTGCGGGTGAATCGGATGGCGCATCGCAGTATTTTTTAACGGTTGAATTCACACCGCGGGGTGATAATTAGGGCGGTCGCGTTATTCGAACCGCGAACCTGTACGGGGGATCTTTGTCGATGTTGTGTTGATACGTGTGTGTTCGTTTGCACAGTAGGGGGCACAGGTGGTGCATCGGCCAGTCATCTCAGTCAGTCAACCCATGGCACCTGGATCTGTCCCATGACCTCCTGCCAGCGGGCGTTCAACACTTCACGTGGCCGTAACGTGAACATAGCCTGGCACAAACGCCGTGGTGACGTCACTGCTACTTAGTGGCGAATGTCGGTTGTTGTTGTGCGTTTGTGTGGAGGGCTAGCACGGTGGCAAACACACCGTGTTACGAACCCAGTGGCCCGAGTTCCGTTTCCACTCACAGAAAACATTGGCGATGAATATGAACCGGCACTAGGCCTCCCCTAGGTCGACTCAGCCATTGATTTAATATCTGGTGCGGTGTATAAACATCGGCAATGGGGAGACACAGGCAGTCACGTGTCTTTCTTGCCACACCATCCACTCGTGCCGTGCCTTCTTTCTTTCATAGGCGCTCGCTAACAGCGCTTGCCTCAATAGTCCATTGAATGCTATACTGGGAATCTTTGTCTTTGTGCAGAACGGGGCAGACAGGGAAGCTGACGGTGGATGACTTTGGAGCGGTGGTGGGACGCTCTCCAGGTCACATGACCCGCCTCGATCTCACGGGGCCCCTCTATCTGGGTAGGAGCATTTATTTTGTGTGTGTGTATATATACTGTGCCTTCGTAGTGTGTGTTAACTGTGGCTGCCAGTGTCTGTGTGTCTGTTGTACTGCTGGGCAATTTCCACAAAACCCTGGACCGGAATTGCAAATGCGATTCACCAAATCGACCGCCGCAATTGCTGACGGGATCATGGCATCGTTGGAACCGTAACTCTGGAATCGGCGGTATTCTCTCGAGGGAATTGCCGAAGGGTGGCATCTCGTGGCGTGCGTTAACAATTTTGCCCACAGACGAGTTGCGATCCCTGCACTCATCGCAAACGGTGGAATCGTGGGTTTAAAGAGATGATTCTCGAAGTGAACTAAGCAGCACCGGTCTCGAGTCTGCGTTTTGTGTGTGTGCGCGCGTGCCGTGCTGTGCGCTGTGTGGTCAATAGTTGTGCGCGTGTCGTGTGCATGCCGTGTCTGTGAGTTGCATATTATTGCGCGTGTGTGCGCGGGGAGCGGGGGAGCGGCGGTGCAGCGGTTAGCGCGCTGCGCTACAAATTCGGCGACCCGAGCCCTCAAACATTGCCACCGGGGAGACAAAGGCGGCCGGGCACGGTACCAGCCACCCCCCTCGTCGTGCGCCATGCCTGACAGTCTGTTAAGGCGATGGGGAAATCTTCGGTCTTCATTGGGCGCGCGGTGTGGCCCGCTTGCAGGCGGCGTGCGGGCCGACGGCGTGTCGGGGCAGGACCGGCCTCGCGTGAGCCGGGGACTCGAGGGCTGCGTGTCGCACCTCACCCTCGCCACCGACGCCCACGTGGCGCTCATCGCGCAGGCCGCGGGCGGCCACAACGTGCAGTCGTGCTGACTGCGCGAGGGCGCGCACGGCAAACCCGACGACAGACCGACACACCGCCACCATACACGCGCACTACCATGTACACATTCACACCGCTGCTGATGCCACTTCTATGTATACAAATAAAAAAGCAATCATGGGTCATGGCCTTTAATTACCCTGGGGAATGCCTCACCGAGTGTCAGGACTTGAATTCCTGCACCGAGTCTCAAGACTTTTGAGCCTCCCGCCAAGTCTCAAGACGTGGTGCATGCGATGATGTATGTTTGGTGCGTATAGGTCGTGGAGGCCATTGCGGCCACACTGCCCCTCACTTACGGTCATTTATGTCTGTTCAATATTTCACCAGTTAGAAATTGCATGATAATTATTAAAAAGCATTATTGTGACGAGAAGGACTGGATTCGCCACAATGCAGTAACTACAATGTTATCTTTTTCTCAAACACATTCCTGAGGAGGGGGCTGGTAGGAAATTTTGAAGTAATTATGTACGGATATTTAAGCCAAACTTGTTTGGGTCGTGCTTAGAAGAAAGCAAAATTAAAAGTGAGCAGAATTATAAAACGATGCCAGAAAGTGCAGTGTATAATCCCCTGCCTCCTGTGAATTAATCCCGGTTGGGCTTCCAGTCCATATAAGGGCACCACGGGGTGACCAGCCCCTCCCCACCCAGCCCCACCCCTCCCACCCCCCACCCAGCCCCACCCCACACAGCCCCTCCCCACCCAGCCCCTCCCCACCTAGCCCCTCTCCACCCAGCCCCACCCCTCCGACGTGGACAGACATACACAATTAATCCCCTGCCTCCTGTGAATTAATACCGGTTGGGCTTCCATATATTGAGATCCTGAGTCTTGACAATTCGTCAACTTTCCAGGGGGGAGTGAGGTTGGTGAATAATGCACCTGTGCCCGGGGAGCGTTGTCAGACTTATAACCGGTTCGGAAAGTCAGGAACCGGTTACTTCCAGAGGAATTTTAGTCAGGAATGCACAGATTGGCCACGCGCCAATTATAGGTTCAAAAGGTGAAATCGGAGGCCCTGAAAGATTGCTCACTCTACGCCACTGGCTGGCGGAATAGCCTCCTCCACCAGAAGTCGGCAGCTCTAATAGAGGTGTACTTGGTCTACTCTTCCACGACGTGCGGATGCGTTGAGAAGAGTTGGGCGAACGTCGCACTCTTACCTCACCACACGTGACCCGAAAACCACCCATGACTACACCCTCACGGGGCACCACTTTACACAACACCCACACACACACACTGCCACGCAAAGACAAAGATCCCCCGTATAGCCTGTAACAGACTGTTGGGGCAAGTGCTGTTAGCGAGCACCTGTGAAGGCCGGCACGGGTGGGTGGCCAGCACCACGCCCGGCCGCCTTTGTCTCCCCCAGTGGCGATGGTTACACACAGCACCGGGTACTCATTTGAGGCTGAGTCGACCTAGGGGAGGCCCAGGACCGGTTCAGATAATCATCACCGATGTTGGCCGCGAGCGGGAATCGAACCCGGCACGCCAGGCTCGTAGCGCAGCGCTCACCGCTCGGCTACTGCTCCACCCGTACAACCCCCCTCTCACACAGCCTCACCCTCACGCTCACCGCTTCTCTCCCCGTCACTCCTGGTTGCCATAAATAGACGAAGCGTCGGGGTCGCGTCGGTGTAAAGGCGATAGTGTGTGGCTCCCTTCTTAACCACCGTCATCAAAACCACCGTCGTCTTAAACGCCGCCACCACCATCGTCGAATTCATCCTCGTTCTCTCATCATCTTCCCATCATCTTACCATCATCTCATCATCCTCATCTTCCCATCACCCACATCATAAACCATCACCCTCTCATCACCCTCCCAGTCATCCTTCCGTTATCATCATTCCCTTCTATTCATCATCCCGAACATCGACTCCACCTCACCCCTCGTAATCACCATCATCCCCTCCTCATTTTCTCATCCTAATCTTCAGCTTCATCACCATCATCATCTCGAGGTTTCCCCTCCCAGCTGCCCGGGCGGAAGGAAGCGACCCCAGCCCCCCGCGAGGGCTCCCTGGAGAGGAGGCAAGAGAGTCCCAGGGCCCCGCAGGGGCAAAGAGAGGGGGATACTCAGACACTCCCTGTGCCCCAGGGCCCCAGCGTGGTATGTGTGTGTGGGGGGGTGTGGGAGTGTGAGGGATGAGGGATTGTGGGAGTGTGTGGGAGTGTGAGAGATGAGGGTTGTGTGTGGGGGGTGTGGGAGTGTGAGCGATGAGGGATTGTGTTTGTGAGGGAGTGTGTGGGAGTGTGAGGGATGAGGGGTTGTGTTTGTGAGGGATGTGTGTGGGAGTGTGAGGGTTGTGTGTGTGTCGGAGTGTGTGGGAATGTGAGGGATGGGGGTTGTGTGTGTGGGGGGGTGTGGGAGTGTGAGGGATGAGGGTTGTGTGTGTGGGAGTGTGAGGGATGGGGGTTGTGTGTGTGGAAGTGTGAGGGATGAGGGGTTGTGTGTGTGGGAGTGTGAGGGATGAGGGGTTGTGTGTGTGGGAGTGTGTGGGAGTGTGAGGGATGGGGGTTGTGTGTGTGGAAGTGTGTGGGATGAGGGGGTGTGAGCGATGAGGGTTGTGTGTGAGGGGGTGTGAGGGATGAGGGGTGTGGGAGTGTGAGGGAGTGTGAGGGAGTGTGAGGGATGAGGGTTGTGTGTGTGGGAGTGTGAGGGAGTGTGAGGGATGAGGGGTTGTGTGTGTGGGAGTGTGCGGGAGTGTGAGGGATGAGGGTTGTGTGTGTGGGAGTGCGAGGGGGTGTGAGGGATGAGGGTTGTGTGTGAGGGGGTGTGAGGGGGTGAGAGGGATGAGGGTTGTGTGTGTGGGAGTGTGAGGGAGTGTGAGGGATGAGGGGTTGTGTTTGAGGGGGTGTGAGGGATGAGAGTTGTGTTTGTGTGTGGGAGTGTTAGGGAGTGTGTGGGATGAGGGTTGTGTGTGAGGGAGTGTGAGGGATGAGGGGTTGCGTGTGTGTGCGGGATGAGGGGTGTGTGTGTGGGAGTGAGGCATGAGGGTTGTGTGGGAGTGTGAGGGTTGTGTGTGTGGGAGTGTGTGTGGGAGTGTGTGGGAGTGTGAGGGATGAGGGGTTGTGTGTGTGAGGGATGTGTGAGGGATGTGTGAGGGATGAGGGTTGTGTGTGTGGGAGTGTGTGGGAGTGTGAGGGATGAGGGGTTGTGTGTGTGGGAGTGTGAGGGAGTGTGAGGGATGGGGGTTGTGTTTGTGGGAGTGTGAGGGATGAGGGGTTGTGTGTGTGGGAGTGTGAGGGAGTGTGAGGGATGAGGGGTTGTGTGTGTGGGAGTGTGAGGGAGTGTGAGGGATGAGGGATTGTGTTTATGTGGGAGTGTGAGGGAGTGTGAGGGATGAGGGTTGTGTGTGAGGGAGTGTGAGGGATGAGGGGTTGTGTGTGTGGGAGTGTGAGGGGGTGTGAGGGATGAGGGTTGTGTGTGAGGGGGTGTGAGGGGGTGTGAGGGATGAGGGTTGTGTGTGTGGGAGTGTGAGGGGGTGTGAGGGATGAGGGTTGTGTGTGAGGGGGTGTGAGGGGGTGTGAGGGATGAGGGCTGTGTGTGTGGGAGTGTGAGGGAGTGTGAGGGATGAGGGGTTGTGTTTGAGGGGGTGTGAGGGATGAGAGTTGTGTGTGTGGGAGTGTGAGGGGGTGTGAGGGATGAGGGTTGTGTGTGAGGGGGTGTGAGGGGGTCTGAGGGATGAGGGGTTGTGTGTGTGGGAGTGTGAGGGAGTGTTTGGGATGAGGGTTGTGTGTGTGGGAGTGTGAGGGATGAGGGGTGTGTGTGTGCGGGATGAGGGGTGTGTGTGTGGGAGTGAGGCATGAGGGTTGTGTGGGAGTGTGAGAGTTGTGTGTGTGGGAGTGTGTGGGAGTGTGAGGGGTTGTGTGTGTGAGGGATGTGTGAGGGATGAGGGTTGTGTGTGTCGGAGTGTGTGGGAGTGTGAGGGATGAGGGGTTGTGTGTTTGGGAGTGTGAGGGAGTGTGAGGGATGGGGGTTGTGTGTGTGGGAGTGTGAGGGAGTGTGAGGGATGAGGGGTTGTGTGTGTGGGAGTGTGAGGGAGTGTGAGGGATGGGGGTTGTGTGTGTGGGAGTGTGAGGGAGTGTGAGGGATGAGGGGTTGCGTGTGTGTACAGGATGAGGGGTGTGTGTGTGGGAGTGAGGCATGAGGGTTGTGTGGGAGTGTGAGGGTTCTGTGTGTGGGAGTGTGTGGGAGTGTGAGGGATGAGGGGTTGTGTGTGTGAGGGATGTGTGTGTGGGAGTGTGTGGGAGTGTATGGGAGTGTGAGGGTTGTGTGTGTGTCGGAGTGTGTTTGAGTGTGGGATGAGGCGTGTGGGAGTGTGAGGGATGAGGGGTGTGGGAGTGTGAGGGTTGTGTTTGTGGGAGTGTGAGGGATGAGGGGTTGTGTGTGTGTGGGAGTGTGTGGGAGTGTGTGGGAGTGTGAGGGATGAGGGGTGTGTGTGTGGGAGTGAGGCATGAGGGTTGTGTGGGAGTGTGAGGGTTGTGTGTGTGGGAGTGTGTGTGGGAGTGTGTGGGAGTGTGAGGGATGAGGGGTTGTGTGTGTGAGGGATGTGTGAGGGATGTGTGAGGGATGAGGGTTGTGTGTGTGGGAGTGTGTGGGAGTGTGAGGGATGAGGGTTTGTGTGTGTGGGAGTGTGAGGGAGTGTGAGGGATGGGGGTTGTGTGTGTGGGAGTGTGAGGGATGAGGGGTTGTGTGTGTGGGAGTGTGAGGGAGTGTGAGGGATGAGGGGTTGTGTGGGAGTGTGAGGGAGTGTGAGGGATGAGGGATTGTGTTTATGTGGGAGTGTGAGGGAGTGTGAGGGATGAGGGTTGTGTGTGAGGGAGTGTGAGGGATGAGGGGTTGTGTGTGTGGGAGTGTGAGGGGGTGTGAGGGATGAGGGTTGTGTGTGAGGGGGTGTGAGGGGGTGTGAGGGATGAGGGTTGTGTGTGAGGGGGTGTGAGGGGGTGTGAGGGATGAGGGTTGTGTGTGTGGGAGTGTGAGGGAGTGTGAGGGATGAGGGGTTGTGTTTGAGGGGGTGTGAGGGATGAGAGGTGTGTGTGTGGGAGTGTGAGGGGGTGTGAGGGATGAGGGTTGTGTGTGAGGGGGTGTGAGGGGGTGTGAGGGA